GCCGCAGTCGCAGTCAGGGACCATTTCTCCGCCTAGAGTAGATTTCTTAATGCTGTCAATATCTTTCATATCTCGTAAAGTAATTTTCACTATCTTTTGCATGCACAAGTATCATCATTCCCATCACTTCGTGCTATAATGGTTAGGTCCTGGCCCATAAACTGACCTAGGGAAATCCATGAACTCAATTTGATTTTTCTTTCTTACTCAGATCAAATTAATGATGATCAAAGAGCAAACACAATACCCACCTGTTGGTCTTTGATGAAGACCAAAAGCTACGTTTCCCATCTCGACTCGCTCTTTCTTAGCAACCACCGTTTCCCCACCTGGTAAGTTTAAAAAGTCCAGAATGGACCAATGGAAGTCAAACAAGACAAAGTGAACATGATTTCTTTTTCTTCATATTACCGATCGCTATCTAATCCACCATTTAGAATATTCCACAGATGTCTAGATCAAATCAAGAGACAAAGAAGAAAAGCAAACCAGATGAAAACTTGACCGTTGGAATAGAGACTGAACAGCCAGAATACTTGGGAATTGCAGTATAATTGCTTCCAGTACTCTTATTACTACCTAAAGACAGAGTATCATTATCTGGCAAAAAAAACCCAAGCATTGCCTAATTTATTAGATGATCAAATGAATAATAAATGGTAGAAAAAATTGAACAGTAAAATAGTAATTAATCTGTGATAATAGTCAAAAACTAGAAACAACTACCTAGAACTGCATTGTTTCTCTCAGCAATGGGATAAACAGAGGGGACATTTGGCATGCCCTTACTCATTTTACTATTTTCAGCAGACTTTGTTGGAAAAGCACCAAAAAGAACATCATTATAATGGCCATTAATCTGATATTCCCTGTTCTTGGCCATTTGAATGTCATTATCTGTTGATTCAATCTGCTTTCTTATTTGGGAATGATCAGGAATTATCTCTCCACCTAGAGAAGATTGCTTAGCTTTATCAGGATTGAATTCATTTCTCCCCATTTCAAAGCTTGATAAGTCATGTAAATAGGTTCTGTCTTCTCCTTGATTATATCTAGCATTTGTGGTTAACATGAGAACTGATTCATCTTTGCTTATAGTTGTGGGGAAACTTTGCCTCTTTCCAAAGTCACTACAAGAATTTGAAGCAGTAGGTGCTTTTGGAGTACTTTGACCATGCTGAAATTCAGATTCAGATGCAACTGGAGTGCTTGATCCGGTTTTCCCCCCCGAATGTATATTAAGTGGCCAAATTGGTTCATCCAGGACCACTATTTCTTCTTCTTCACTAGACCTTTTCCTAGGTCTGCCCCTTCGACGTTTAAATTTCAATTTTTCAAACCCACTTTTTCCATATATTTGGACAACAAAGTGACTACCCTTGATGTAGAAGAATGTCAAAAAGTCTCCAACTTCCAGAAGATGATCTTGGGCAAATTTGTGCCATCCCTCCTGGATGGCCACATAGCCATTAAGAATGGATATCGTTATTGGCCACTGTTGTCCGGCTGAGTCCTCCAGATAGCTTGGTTGACCAATCACGTTTCGCACTTTTCGAACGAAACTAGGAGGCAAGTACTACAAGTGGATTATGAAATTTTAGAAAACAAGTATACTTCCAAAGAAACTATGACAAGTCGATGTCTGCATGGTAAAGTTAGCGTACCCATATCTTTGGAAGTATTCAATTCTATACAACATATCAATGTTAACCTGAATTTTTGAAATATGACCAAGAAAAACATGTCATACTGGAGCGCAGTAACCATGAAATATATTGATCAAAAAATTATTTTTTTACTCTTTTAGACAAGCATAGAGTATCAAGTAATTTGCCTGCACAAACATCTATACTTAGATAATGAACTTATCTGCCAATAACAATCATAGAGTGACAAAGATTATGCATAATTGAATTTAGGAACCAAAACAAGACAGGCAATATTACAATAATTTGAAGTTTGCAGTTCTTACATCAACATTTCCGATATATCAAACTAAATTGATTCAACTTCAAGAGAGAGTATAACCGAATCAAAATTGACAGAAAAATGTTTAATAAAAAAGTGCATGAACTAAATACCAATTGCATACAACATCACAATCTTTCGAAATAACATCGTCTAATATTTATAATTTGGGGTTCGAATGCAGAAATAGAGAAGCAGGGAAGTATAGATTGCATGAAAAGTTGTCTGTGAAAAATCTGGTTGTAATTGCTGCAATGACAGAATCTACATGATTGGAATTACAGATGGAGTTGACAAAATTTCACTTTTTGTGGATTATACAGCTGTAAAATGACCTAGAATATCTCGTGTTTGCCCCTATATAACACTTTGTAACATTTCTCATCCAATACAAACTTTTCGCCAAAAATCGTCAAGGTATTAGAGCCATCTAGGTTCTCGGCATTTTTTTTTCTTTAATGGAGTTTATATATATATTTATTTATTTCTTTATTTTGGATTAGCCAGTCAGTATCAGCCTTCATTGCTGTTTAGTTAGTTCAAGAATATCAATAGAATATAAAAGTTCTGGCCTTATTGCTTCCACACCTAAGATTAGGTTAAAAAATGCATTTATTTGGTGGACTAAAAAATACTAGGGGAAGAAATGATGAGAAGAACAAACTATGGTCTGTAATAAGCCTCGTCATGCAAAGGCAACCTTCTGGATCTCCAGGTTGCAGCCGATCTGCAAAAGCCTATGGTTGCAGGCATACACGACCTACCTCTTGAATAGCCAATTTTCACCAAAAAACAAGTTGAGCACCTATATATGTTTACGATGCCAATTTTGCTGAATAATCTCTTCTTTTCTCGTCTTTTATTTATAGACGTTTATATGAATATACAAGGAAACAAAAATAACAACTGAGAGCTATAGAAGGAAAGCTCTAAATCATGCCTATACAAGGAAAATTGTAAAAATAATCAATCAATCACGCTTCTAATATCCCCACCCCATTCAAATTGATGTTGGTGAGTCCACAAGCATCAATTTGCCGAGGAGAAAATTACGACGCTGGCGAGTCAAGGATTTGATGAAGATATCTATAGTCTATTGAGCAGTAGAGACATGGAAAAGAGCAACAACCTTGGAATCGTAGACATCCCGGATGTAATGACAATCTACTTCAATGTGTTTGGCAAGTTTATGATATACAAAATTAGCCGCAATCTGAATAAC